AGAAAGGGTTTCCTCAAACTATGATCAGCACTAATAAAAGTCAAACCATTACATAACAGCTTGCAAGTGCATAATATTGGAAATACAGAAAGAAATGCAGAAAGAAAAAAAAAAAAGAAAAAAAAAAAAGAAGATAGGGTTGAGCAAAACTAACCATTTTTAAATAAAACATACCATTTTCAAAGAATCTACTTGCAGAAGGGTCATTAAGGAAGTCTTGCAGCTGTCCAAAGCTTATCTGCTAAAGCACACTGCCTCACTTAGTCAAACAGCCACACTGCTCATTTTTAGCAAAATAAGTCAGGCTGCTGCAGTTGTACAACAACAAACAAACAAACAAATAGATGTCAGAGTAATCAGTGCACAGAAAGAGACTCGGGCTCCAAAGCACCCTCAGCTGGAAGAGCAAACATGGCAAATATGGCATGTGTAAGTACAACCCCATTTATATACACCGCAGAACATTTAGCAATTCCACTGATTCCAAGATACTAAATGTTGTCAAAACCCACAGCATTCTACAAAATACATTTTCAGATAAGCTATGTTAGCATAGCCAAGTGCAAGGTAAAAATCCAACAACTTTTTCAATGGGTGGATTAATTAGTCATGTGGCCATAGGAGTGAATGAGTCATGGGATTTCTAATGAGATAAGGACAGGAAGCCCGACATCTTAAGTCAGGAGTTCAAGTGGGTGAGTACTCTGCTGCTGTGACCTAGATTGAAGGCACAACTAACAGTTCAGGGCCAGCACCTAAATCTACTTAAAGAGAATATGTTTGCCTTAGAGAAAACCCAGACAGTACCTTTCTGTAGCAGTATCCCTCACTATGGCTCTCCCAGTTCCAGCTCCTGGGAAAACTTGAAATAAATGAGGTACCTAGCTAATGAGTTCTGTAGGCACAGCTGGGAGACCTCACCCTTTGAGGGAGTTCCCCACTGACCATCATAGTCAGAAGCAAAGCTGAAGAATCCTGTTGTTGCAGGCATAGAGTCTGTGATTATCAGCAGACTGAAGAGTTTTGTGCTTGTGATTTTGCACTTGCCAATTTGCTGTAATTAATGCAAATCCTCCAAAATGGGGGCTTTCAATCTCTTATGCAGAACAACCTCACCCGTGAAAACCTGTGGAGTCTGGTCACAAGAGATGCAATACGCCTAAAGCAGGCTCAACTCAAATTTCAGGGGTCACGTCTTCATTGATTCAGCACGGATGCCTTCTTACTGTTCGTGTTTAGTTATTAAAAGAAGAAAAACTAAAAATGTTTTGATCACAACAGAAACGCAGACCCACATTATGCCAGTCTGCCTGCATGCTGTAAAAAAGCCCAGTGCTAGTCAAACCAGTGGTAAAGTAAGTAGGAGGCAAAGCACAAGGAAGGAAGAGAGAACAGAACAGGATGATACAAGAAAGAAAAAGTGAAGTGAGACAATGAGAGCAAAGCATGGTGCAGGAGAGGACCAACAGAAGAGTAAACAGAGCGGGAAGTCAGAGGGCAAAGTAAAAGATAGAAGTGAGTGGGAATTTAATGAAGACAAAAGACATGAGGGAAAATAACACAACACGGATGTGGATAAAAAGCAGAAAAGGCAGAAAGAGAAGAAATGTATATATACAGGAAACTCATCATCCATCCAAAAACAGCTTCTTATCAAACCCAAACAAGAGACACCGCCAAAAGAAGTTCAGATCACCTGAAACTTCTGAAAGCAGATGAAAAAAATAAATTAAAACATGAATGAAGTGGTGAGATTATGAGAATTTCAGCAGGGATTACACTGACCCTGTTCTCTTGATGCAGGAGAAAAAAAATATCTGCCTTCAGAAGAACTCTGCCCACCTGTGAACTGATTAAGGACTAAACATTCAAATAGAATTTGGAATCTAGCTGAGCAGCTTTTTAAAGTTCATCAGACTGTGCTCTGTGCAGAATAGACGAGCATAGCAGAAGTGCTCCACTCAAGGAGAACCTCCCTTCCTCCCACCACTCCTAGCACACACCAAACACATGTCAAGGCATTTTCTTGATAAACTTTCCCCAGAACACAGGACTGTAATACTGGTTAGTGGCCAAGCTCAGTCCATTCAGAATTTAACTCTGTACTCCTGATTTGTTTGAAGTGTGTTGTCCTGTACCATCCAGTACTAACGTACCATTCCTAAGTGGGAATGAGGCTGACTATGAGTTTACAATGCAAGAAAAAAGACGTAGAGCAACCTTGTACTCCCAGAGAACAGCAAAAAGGCAGAACAGAACAAGTTCCATTTCTATTTCCCACTTATCCATGCTCCATTGTTTTCTGCCCTCTTGTACCCTGCTCCCACTTCCCACACCTGGACACAGACTATATGTATTTTACCTTTGTTCACCTCTAAATATAAAAATGAAGTATGAACATGTCTGAGGTTCTGGGGTTTTATCGCAAATCAAGAAACACATAAGCCACTTCAGCAGGCTCACAGAAAAAAGTTAACCAACTCAACTCAATGGAACAACATTGATATACCCACCCCATGAAAACCAAGCCCTAAATCCATACACAAACTAAGATTTCTAAAGCTGAGCTTTTGGGGTTTACATAATGAGAAAGAGAAAGCACTGGAAGCAGACCATGTTTCACTCCAGCCTCTCTCCACAAGACAGAAATGATGCAAATACTGAAACCTGTACAGTGTCAGTGGATTCCTGCATCCAGAATAGGGAAAGGACGAAGACAAGACTGTGGGGTTGACGGCACCACAAGCCTGAGTTGGAAGTAGATAAGGAGAGTATCTTATTACCCCCCAGTGTTTGAGTTTGAATTAAAGAGAGATCAAACTGGCTACACAGAGCTTATAAAAGAGAAACACCTCCATATAACAGTGGCTAAAATCCTTCCATACTCACAAATCTAATACAATATGTAAGCTCTGAGCAGCCTGGTCTGGTGGTTGGAGATCCTGCACATAGCAGGGGATTGAAACTAGATGATCATTGTGGTCCTCTTCAACCCAGGCCATTCTATGATTCGATGTGGTTTTTAAACCAGTAACAAGAAAGATCTGAACATTATTCAACAGTATTATAACAACTGACACCTCTGCCTCAAACGTGTTTATATGCACACCACAAGAATCAGGAAATAAGTGCTGAAAGAGATTCCCAATTAAGCCTAACAATTTCCAAACCAGCTCAAATATAGTATTGCTTCACATTATACTTGAATCCTCACTATGGGTTTAACAAAGAAAGTTGGGCTAAACTAGAAAAAAAATGGCAACAAAATCCCAGAGAAGGTTACATGGACCCAGAGCAATAGTGCATGTATTTTATGATTTAGAACCCTTGCTATAAGGAAAGCCAATACTTCTCATTCCAGAGCAATGTATGTTATTAGCAAGCAGACAAGATGCACCTTTACATTCCATTATCTGGGCTGACTCTGCCCCAGCACATGCCAGTACTTGAGCAAACCTAGTGAAATTACTCATAATTAACATCGGTATACACAAGTTGCAAATTTAAATAGCAAAGTTATCAAATTATATGTACAGCTGACTGCATTCAAGATCCATAATTCGGAGTGATCCAGACCCTTTCTACTTCAAAGGGACAGGGATCTCTTACTAAAAAAGCATAACGTGTTTTTGTTCAGACCAACCTGTCCACCCACCCACTTTAATAGAAACATCAAATACAAAAATGTCCATTTCTTTCTGAACACATTGTAGAATTGGGTCAAACACCAATCTAACAAAACAAATACTAAAAAACGTTTATTTCAAAATTATTAGCTTCTGACACAAGCAGCTGTTTTGCCCTTTTCACGTAACGCTTTAATGAAAGCAGTTATTAGCAGACCTCTTGGTGGACTGACAGCTATGGAGACTTGTGCCCTGAATTTCTCACAGAGGATGAAATGAAGAAATAGAGACTATTGGCTGGCTAGATAAACAGCTGCACGATGCGTTCTTTACACTGACCTGAATTATTCTGCCTTTCACCAGCATTTTTATTGCTTGTATTTGCTTAATCTTGATAAACGAGATGTATATAAAATGGGTCATATGAGGAGAATTACTTTTAGGAAAATAAACATGCTCACGTGCACCAAACGCACACATTTATCTTCATAAATAGAAAGCCTCATATCAACCTAACATTTCCCTTCCGAAGCAACCCAAGTTTACCTGCTCACTGATCTGGCACCCTTCCCCACCACCACTATGCCAGAAAACAAATCACAGACTTGCAGAACTCATAGGACCACAGAGCTCTGCTATGTCAAAATGCTGCTTAGAATAAATGAAACCATGATAATGTATTTCAAATCACCCTTGTGTGTAATAGAATCTGTAAGACTTGGAGACTAGCAACTAAATTATTTTTCGTTACATTTTCAAGTACAACACTGCTACCCTATTTTCAGCTGAAGAAATACAGCTCCACAAATGAAGTACCCATTGTGTTATCATCCCTTTTCAAAACAACTTCTAGAAGCACTTACTGCTGTTATAATTCACGTTGATGTTCTTACCACTTTGCTGTAAAATTTTCCACCATTCTCTTTTAATAAAAGCTAAAATAACAGCTAAAAATACAGACAGCCAAACAGCAGCCTTAAAAATTGAGAATAGATTAGACAAGCATATTAGGTAAGGCAGTAAAACTTCACAGGGATTGAAGCAGACATCTCAACAACAACAGGAATTCAAATACAAGTTCTTACACCACACAAATACACAGACACACACAGAGCACATCTTTATGGTACGTTCTCTTCCAAAGAATTTCACCACTGACAACAGAATTTTAAAATATGACATAAGAGAGTACATATTAAAACTGAAAATAAAGCAATTGCATATTCTGACTGATATTTTATTTGAAAGTACCACTGCATACCAATTTTTTTTTTTACTAAAATTATTGTACTTAATAGTTTTAAACACTAGCAGCCAGTCTTGACCACCAAGATAAAACTTCAAGACATAAAACAAAAACTCAAGAGTACTCACCAAATTATGATTAGTTGAATTAGAATCATCTTCTGGGAATGGGATGTAAACAGCTAAGGCCACACAGTTGGCAAAAATAGACAGTAGTATAAATATGTCAAATGGTCTGGAAAATCCTGTTAAGGAATTAATGGATTCCGAGCATCTACAAACTTTTAAGCCTAGCTCTCCTTTCTGTTTCTATACTCACAAACAGTTCTTCTTTTAAGGCAATCTTTAGACTGTTAAGTGGGGCAAACATCAAATCACCATTGGTTATATCACTGTATCACATCATCTTCCATCACAACAATGTCTCAATGTCCCTTTCTCTTTGCAAAAGCAAGAAAGCTATTACTCTCGCTGCCAGAGAACTCTTCATTTTTCTGACAGTGGAACTCCTTAACAGTTTTGCTTTGGGCAGAGCAGAACAAAGTCTGGGTAAGTAGAATGGCTAACAGCATGCCATTCTTGGCTTGGCAGCCATACAGGCTCAAAGCCTCTCAGGCTTTTGCACAAGTGACATGAAGTACAGCTACAGTTTTAACACTGCATCTGGATAACAGTAGTAGAATCCTGGAGACACATTTCCTCTGGTTAAAAAAGAAAAAGAAAAAGAAAAAAGATGTTTCCTCAAATTCATACTTAGAAGTTCATCCTTCAGCTTATCATCAATTTGCCTTTCCCTGAAAAACACTGCATTATTTCCTCGTAACTAAAAAAGACAGAATTACCCAGATAAGACTACTTGTAGAATGTCAGATAGGGAATACTTTGAACCTTAGCTATGATTTTTGCCATTTTTTCCTGTTATCTCAACTCACACCTTCTTGGTATACATCCATAAAATTCCCATAAAAGACTGAGGGAAGAGTACCAAATGCAATCTTTGTTTCCTCCAAAGAATATTTTTGTCAGTTCACAATACACTTTTTCTGAAGAAAACACCTATTAAGCCCACATGGCCATCAAGTACTTTTAAATTTTGTTTGTTGGCAACGCAAAGTTTGTCACCACCAGGGTTGTTTTTTTTATGTCCATAAAAGCCTATGAATATCAACAACCATTACATTGTACACAAAAAAACAGAGCACCCATCTTAATACACAGCATTCTCCAGACTGAAATGAACAAACCACATCAGTGCAAGACTTACAAGCTTGTTTCATGATACAGTGCTACTGGGACCAACTCAGCCTTGCATTATTCCACTTCAGGTTCACAGCAATTTAATTTAACTGACCTTAGCCAAGGAGAGGCCAATCTACTGAAATTAGTTGGACTTCTACCAGTTTAAAATGAAAGTAGAATCTGTTTCACTATCTTTAATTACATTCAAAGAATTGAAAAAACAAGCCCTATAAACGAGGAACATCTCATACTGCCAGCATGGGTGTTCTGTTTAAAGTAAGAAAATGAGCTTTACTTTTGTAATGTACTCTCCTGAACAGCTATTTCCTGCTACAGGAATGTTGCCATGGCTAACAGGCAAACATTTTTCCCCTTGTACCTCAACAAACCTTTATCTTCTATTTCAAACTTCTTTCTTGAGAATTAAACAATATATCATATCTGCATGATATTACTTCTTCCAAAGAAATCCACAGACTTTCAAATCACAACCACTGAGACAAAGATGAAGCAATCCTTCCCAGCACACACACCACCCCAAGGAGAAGCTGGTGTGTCTGGTCTGGTCTCCTACCTACAGTCATACATGCTTCCAAATATTTGATGGTAGAATTGTTGTAGAAGTTCAAAAGATGAATATAGTTCAGGCACCTGTATGTACCAACAGTGAATCCTTAGCTTAGCTAAGAAAACATCACTTTTAGCAGTTGGAAAACATAATTTTTAAACAATTTCTACATTCGGCCCATTTGCCTTAATAGTAATACATCTGAGCACAAGATGGAAGATAAAGGTTTCACATCTTAGGTCATCTCCAAGTAAGCACTGCTAGATGCACTCTTAAGCATTCGGCCTTCTTTAGAACGGTAATGAACAGAATGTGGAGATTTGATGGAATATAATGCAAGCTTATAAATTTAGAAGGTTAAATTCTGAATGCGTTCCCTTTTTCCCCTAAGAAAAGAAAGCAATAGCTATGAGCTCTTCTCTGATTTCATTTACTTACTTTAGTGAAACAACATCCTGTTATTATGACATCGATCAAGAGCCATTTATGCAAAACTAGCTACCATTAATGTTAATGAGAGTTACACACATAGGTAGGAGAAGTACAGTGTTAGCTGTGCTGCTATCAGAGACATAGTAAGACAGTCTTGATACACCTAAAAAAACTCAAGAAACAGACAAACTGAAACTGCATCAAAGGATACTTCCATTCTACTAGACTAATGCAGGCTCTTCGTATGGGGTTGTTGAGGGATAAACAGAAAAGGGCACGGGGTGGCCGACTATTAGATGTATTACCCTGTTTTTTGCTCTTGGCATATTGCTGGCGTTTTCTTTGGGACAGAGATCCTACAGGCTGGGCTGTGGTGGAATTCATATTTTGGGCAGCCTTTGCTTGTCTAGCAGCATCAATTGCAGCTTGCCAAGACAGAACAGTTTGCTTGGATGGTGCTGAACTGTTGGACTGAGTAGTTGGTCCGTCACCAGGGAGAGGAATTCTGGTGCTGCTTGCATAGTTCGCCTCTGTGAGAGAAAAGGGGAAGAAAAAAAAAAAAAACTTGTTTATAACTTTTTATGCTATAATGTGTCACTGTGTTTTCGATGAAAAGATTATTTTAAGACCTCTTGATGGTGTGATGCCTATATATGTGCATACACTCATGCTCTGCAGTATATATATATATGACTGTAGGCAAATAAATATACGTACACGTAATTGAAGATATACGTATGCATATATGTGATTGAACAGTAGCCAAATATGCTCAGGAGTCAGCATTATAACTTCAAGTCAAATCTAAGTGTCAAGACAAGTGCTTCAGCAACACTTTGCATTTTGAGTCTCCCACTTACTACAGACTTGATGGCAGCTTTACTGTCACCATGTTTATCCAGTGAAGCATTCCTCCTCCTAATGACCAACTCTGCTGCAGAACCTTAGCGTTCAGCACAAAAAGTCATTTACGCATGCTTTTCAATGGAAAACAACCAATCTACCTTCCCAAACAGAAAGATTAAAAGAAATCCTGTAAGCAAGTTGAATCTCACCTCGTTCTGCGTTCTCACAGCAGAACACAGGGATGCCTCCCACAAGTTAAATTCCCATAGTGTGTGGTGGTAAATATGTTGATAAGGTAGAGTTTCACATGTGAAACCAATGCAAAGGAATGCTTCTTTCTACTTCTTCATGAGGTTCCACTACATAAATCGTACCTTCTAAACAAGGTTTTTGAGCTCTTTTTATTTAGATGGCTCAATGCCACCTCCTCGCACAGATCTCCGCTCCTGACTGGAGCAGCAGAGCCGACTCCTACGTGCACCTGTAGGAAGGAGCAGCTCCTAAGTGAAATTCAAAACTTGAAGATGCCTGGGTGGGCAGAACATGGAGGAATGATGGCAGAATCCACGCGCAGGGAATCAGGGCTGGCAAGCGGAACGGATCTGCCCAGGCAGGAGGGGAAGATAACTCCCCAGCGACCGCCGTTCGTCAAAGAGGGGAGCACAGCCCTCCCTTCCTAGACTGTGGGAGAGGAGATAACGGCAACGACGCGAGAGCCCTGAACGTGCGTCGACGTGTGCGAGCACGGCCCCGCCGCTCCGTGCCTGCGTGAGGGGCGGCCGCGGGGGCTCTAAGATGGCTCCCGGGGCGGCGGGGTCAGCGCGGGGCCGCAGCCGGCATCGGGTGGCGGGAGCCGGGCAGCCCCTACCGCCCGGCCTCGGTGGGGGGAAGGTTGCTCGGGGGTGGCGGAGCCGATGTCGACGTTTTGCAAAGGCTTTCTGCCGGTTCCCCCCCCTCCTCCCCCCCCTTTTTCCTTTTTCTTTTTTTTCTTTTTTTTTTTTTTTTTTTTTTTAATTTCTCAAGCAATTTGACAGCATCTCCCCCGCCTTCCGCCTGCCCCCTGGGATGCCGTGCAACGTGGTTCGGCGCAAAACAGCCGCTGATCGATGCATCTAGCTGTCATTCTCCTCATCGGTGCTAGCGAGCGAAACAAAGCCCGAGCGCCGTGCTCCCCGGGGAACCTCTGCCCCCGGCGGGCACGCAGCAACGGACTCGCGGCTCATATGGGGGAGCGGGGGGAGAATCGTTCGAACGCGGCAGGGAAGGACGTGCGGAGCCGGCACGGGACCGGCGCAGCCCCGTGGCGCCCCCTCAGCCGCCCGCCCCCAGCCGCTGCCGCTGGCGCTGTGCCCCCGCACCCGGTTCGGAGCGGCGCGAGCGGAGCCGCGTCCGTCCTCCCGCCCTCAGCTCCAGCCTCGCGCAGCATCCCGCTTGCCGCCGAACCTCGCTCCGCGCCCTTCCCAGAGCCCGGCAGCTCGCCCCCTCCCCGCACCAAACCCACCCCGGCCCCAACGCTTTTCCTCCCTCCTTAATCCCCATCTCCCAAATCCCTCACAAATCCTCCCCCGCGCCCCCTCCTTCAGCCCCGGGCACGCCGCTGCCCTTGCTGCCCGCTCCGCTCCTACCTTCTGGGTGCTGCTCGGGCTGCTGCTGGTGGTGGTGCTGCATGATTCCCACTTTCTTCGGCGCGCGAGAGGAAAAAGAAAAAAGCCCAGGGCCGAGACGTCCCCCGCCGCCCCGAGCCAGGTGCGCGCAGCCCTGCGCTCCGCTACCCGACCCCCATGGTAGCGACTAGCGACGCGCGAGGGGCTGCTCCCGCTCCTCCTCCTCCCGCCGCTGCTGCCGCTGCTTCGCCGCTGCCAAATCCCTCCGAGTTTGGGCCAACATGACACTCACATCCGGGTGACACGGGATCTCTCCATCCCTAGCAACCGCTAGAGCCGCTGCCAGCTCGTCGGTCCCCCCTCCTGCTGCCGCCCGCTCCGCGAGCCCCCTCCTCCCGGTGCCGCTCCTCCTCAGCCCCCTCCTGCCGCTCGCCGCCGCCGCCGCGGGCTTAACTCCCTCCTCACTGCCACTGCCGCCGCCGCCGCCGCCGCCGCCACCTGCTGCTGCTGCTGCCGCGCTCCTGGGGCCGAGCCGGGCGGGGGTGCGGAGCCGCTCGCTAATCGCCCGGAGCTCCGACGGCCGCAAATAGAACCGCCGCCGCTTTAACCCCTCCGCCGCCGGCCCGCAGCCCGCCCCCGAGCGCGCCTCCGCACACCGCCGCCCCGCAGCCGCCTGCTACTGGCGCCAGCCCTGCTCTCCGCGCCCGTATCAGCACCCAGACGCGAGTGGGTTCGGGGCCGCCCCTTCCACGCCTTGCGGTGAACGCATCCCTCGCTCTGGACGCCTCCCCGCCCGGTTCTCGTGCCCACGTGCGCACTGCGAACCCTCAGTTCCTCAAACCTTCAGCGCCTCGACCTGTTGCAATGGCTCCATTCCCATCCTAAGCCAACCCCAACATTTTTAGTGTCTCACGAAGGAGAGAGAAAGAAAGAAAGAAAAAAAAAACCCACACTCCATTATCTTTCCAAAATTTTTCATTTTCAGCACTCCACAGCAGAAGCCAAAACCCTGCATTTTGGTTTTATTTTTCCTTCATTGGTCTCAAAGCAGCAATCCCATGCACTGATGCGTATGATTGGAGCAGCCGTGAGGTGTGTGGGAACAGCAAGGGCAGCACCTCCACCTATAGTGATACTTTTCCCAGTGGCAGTATTGCAGCCATTGGGAGAAGTACGTAATGAAACCAAGCAAGAATTATACAAATTCAAAACAGAATTAACACTTCGGAGTTCCAGTTGGCTTTCTCTGAAATTACCACTTCCCGATTTATTTTTTGAGAGTATTTTCAGGATATTTGTTCTGAACAAACCATTGTTAAAATAGTGTGTGTGACCCTGTGATAAAGGTACTATTTTGTTAAAAAAACATTCAGCAGAACTGCTACGAACCCTCACTTTCATCGCTTTCTTATTCATGTCTCTATTTCATCTGCAAGCTATCCTTCACCCACAATTAACAATAAATAAAGAATGACAGAGAAGACTTAGGAAAAAAAAAAAAAGACCTCAACACTTCTGATATACTTCAGTCTCATACGAAGCCCTGTTAGGTGGAAACCATCACTTTTAGTGTCCTGTGGAGAGAGAAATCTTCTATCTCCATGCCACTTCTTGGCCTTGTTTTGGGAGTTGCTTTTCTCCAATCTGTTGAGTGGATTCAGCTGCTGCAGCCATGAGCCACCTGCTTCTGGGGGCTGGTTTAATCAGCCACACACGGGTCAGAAGTTTGCAGCAATGAAAACTGCAAGAATCAGAAAGGCGATAGAATGGTGATACAGGAGGTGTAACGATGAAGGGCCTAGAGCAGCAGAAAGGCGTTACAAGGAAAAGAGCTCAACCATCTCTGAAGATCTAGGCTCCACAAAGGAGGAATCTCCAACGGAGATCCTTCCCAGAGGCAGTCAGCCCTTAAATGAGGTCTAAGAGAGGTGCAGCCAGACTCCACCCCTTCCAGTCACACAATTGAGTTGCCTTCACCTGTTCCTCGATTGCTGTTTTGAAAGAGACAAAGTTCAACGCAAAGACACTATTGGCAAACCCATGAGTAATAAGACCTGAATCTAAAACAAACAAAGCGTCCTAAAGAAAAAGGCTGAAGTCTGCAGAAGTCCATCAAACCCCAGGGTTCTGGCCTTCCCAGTGCCTGGTTTCCAATCCCCGTCCTTACAGAGGAGAACAGCACCATGTAGCAGAAACTACAGATACTCTCCAAAGACTCCTAATAAAACCATGAAAGAGAGATGCTTTTACACACTTGGTCTGGAACTGCAAACATGTAGTTTTGCCTATTTCAAAAGCTATCTAACCCTAGACAGTCAACAGATGTAGTAGGTAACTACTAGATAATCAAATTATCTACTACATTTTCAAAATAATAATTATGAAAATGAACGTCCTTTTAGTGAGTTTTGAGAAAGTGTGTATGAACACTGATACTGTTTAATCACAAAAGTGCTAATTACTGAAACCATCAATTCTCTACACAGCTGTTTGCCCTTCTCCTCTGGAACTAATATTTGATTATTTCACAAACACTGCTTCACTTTGATGTCACGTGGATAATATTTACTCATTCCTGAATGAAATGGTTGGAATTATGTTAATGTTTTAGATCGTCTTCAACTGCCATCTGCTCAGTGCTATGCCCTTATCAGTGTATTTCCTGTACAAGCTGAAGAATGGCAGGGCAGGAAGAAAATACATTTGTTATTATCATGTATTTTTTGCAGATTTGCCATTCAATTATTATTATTTGTCCTCTGATAACATTTATTGCTTTCAAAGCCTCTGTAAGAGAAGCAGACGAGCCAAGAAGCAGCATGTTATGGACATTTTAGAAGCAGAAGCCCATTCAGAATTTAGGAGCACATGTGACTAGTCCTATTTAACCAGAACCTCAGCCGATGAGCTGGTGGAGCAGCAGCTCACTGCAGGAAGGGACAAATCCAATCAGAATACAATTGCCATAGTAGGAAGAAGTTATATAACAAACACAGAACTGCGAACAGCGTGAAGCAGCAGAATCAGCCTAGTCCTGTAACAAGCAGGCAACTCACAAGCATTAATCCATCACTCATCTTAATAATTCTGCTGAAGCTGTTAGCGTACCGACACATACTGACCTGTTACTGTCTTTACACATGGGAAGAATATTTAAATGAATGATAGCCACACTGAGAACAAACAGTTGTAGAATTCATTCTCACCCATATTACGTGTTTTCATCTACCTTAGCACATGCTGTCGTTGAATCGCAGAACGCCTTGGGTTGGCAGAGCCCCTAAATCCCTCCCAGCTCCGAGCCCTGCTGTGGCCGGTTGCCCCCACCAGAACAGGCTGCCCAGGGCTCCATCCTTTCAACTGCTGCTTCTTCTACTTTCTGCTTAAAAGTACTCTTTTCATTCTGCTCACCTGAAGCATCGTAGAGTTACAGTTTGGGTTTGAAGATGTTTTTCAAATTCTTTTCTAAAAAAAGATCATAATTAAACTTAAGTATATCCATATATTGTCTGTCAGCTCAGTGAATAGCATCTTTCTGATGTCAGTACAAGTAACAAGCTCTAAAGAACTTAAAATAGCACTTTATTGCAAGTGCAGTTTATGTAGAAAACTATAGAAAGCACATGCTTCTAAATCCTCCTGACTGGGATCTCAAAAATAGATAAAATGCATGTTTACAGATTTTAAAATCTAGGAATCCACTACATAATAGAGATGATGAGAGAGTGGCTTAAATGTCCATTTTCTTGACCATGTCCATACTCAAGATTTAAAGTGTAAAATGTCTTCCAAGAGGAATTAACACCAAATTTTGCATTGCCCTCTACAAAAGTCTTTTCTTTTTGCATATTCTTTTTTTGTATTGGTTTGGGTGAGCAGAGTATCCCAATACAAAATATAACCCTGACTACTTTTTGTCTTATTTAGAATGTCACCAAAAAAAAATAATAATCAAAAGACAAGAAACCTACCACAGTGAAGCCTTATCATTTGCACATAAACTCACAAAAAATACAAGTTTTTGAAAGCTAAATGTAAATGAAGTGCATTACACTAAGCAGTCTAGCAGGAGATCTAGCTGAACATTTTGTGAAAAAAAAAAAATATATATATATATATATATATGCATGTATAATTATAAAAACTTGTACAGAGGGAGGAAGGAAGAAGGGAAGAGAAGGGAAGGAGGAAAGGCAGGGGTTGCACAGACTCTTCATTTGTTTGGCTGAGCAGCAGCTCCAAGCATGTCTTGTTGCCTTCAGGCTAAGGAAGAGGCCAAAGGTCTCCATTGGAGATCACCAATGCCATGAAAGTCCTGATTTATTGTTCCCAACCTCTCAGCAGAACTTTATATACTTATAGGGTCCAATGATTTGGAATTAAATGCTCTATTGTATACATTTCTGAAACTTATTTTTCCTTTTCACTCTACACAGGAATAAGGGCTAATATGTCCTGAACACACTGAGAATCTGTTCAATTTAAAATTCAGGGATTTTTTTTCCAAAACAAATTACTAAGAATGGAGTGAAATGTGTTTTCCTGACTAATTAGATTCCTTGGCTTAAGAAAGACATAGAGATTTTGGAAAGGGTCCAGAGGAGGGCGACTAAGATGATCAGGGGGCTGGAGCACCTCCCCTATGGGGACAGGCTGAGGGAGTTGGGCTTGTTCAGCCTGGAGAAGAGAAGGCTGCGGGGTGACCTCATTGCAGCCTATCAATACCTGAAGGGAACCTACACCCAGGAGGGGAGTAAACTCTTCAAAAGGGCTGATAACAGCAGGACTAGGGGAAATGGATCCAAGTTGAAGGAGGGAAGATTTAGGTTGGATGTTAGGGGGAAGTTCTTTACTAGGAGAGTGGTTAGGCCCTGGAACGGGCTGCCCAGGGAGGTTGTGGATGCCCCGTCCTTGGACGTGTTCAAGGCCAGGTTGGACGGGGTCCTGGGCAACCTGATCTGAATGTGTATGTTTGGTGGCCCTGCTAGGCAGGGGGGTTGGAACTACATGATCCTTGGGGTCCCTTCCAACCCGGGTGATTCTGTGATTCTGTGATTCTGTGAT